CTCCTCAGTTTTGGCAAGCAAGGTTGTATCATCTGCATCATGCATGTTCTTGAAGAGTCTTCCTCCAGTCCTGATGCCACACTCCTCTTCATAAAGCCCAGCCTCTTGAATGATCTGTTCTGCATGCAGATTTAAAAGGTATGGAGATAGGACGCCTCCTTGATGCTCCCTTTCCCTAATTTTGAACCACGCAGTGTTCCTTTGCTCTGCTCTGAAGGCTGCCTCCTGGTCTACATATATGTTTTGCATGAGCATGATCAAGTGTTCTGAGATTCCTATTCTTCTTAAGGTTAGTCACAATTAATTGCAATCTACACAGTAAAATGCCTTTGCAGAGTCCATGAAACACAGAAAGACATTCCTCTGGTACTCTATCCATCTGACACTGATGATTATGTCTCTAGTGCCATGATCTCCTCTAAATCCAGCTTGTGTTTATGATAGTTCTCGGTCAATGCTACAGTAGTTTTTGGATAATCTTCAGTAGGATTTTGCTTGTGTTAGTGTTCTTAGTGATATTGTTCAATAATCTCCTCACTCTGTTGGATCACCCCTTTTTTTGGGAACAGGAATAAATATGGATCTCTGCCAATCAGTTGACCATGTAGTTGCCCTCCAGATTTCTTGGCACAACCTGGTAAGCATATCAAGTACAGTATCTAACTGGTTCCTGGGCTTCAACGGCTGGAAGGTCTGGACTTATCTTTGCCCTAAGTCTAGTAACACCTGTCCTCCCACAATTCCACTGGGCTCAGCTGACAGGAATTCAAAGGAGGATAAGGCCATATAAAATAATATTTTAGATAGCTATACACAACCAACACTCTTGGTATCAGCAGCCAAGATGAATTGCATTGGGAAAATCTCCTGTCAGAGACATCTCCAAAGTACTCAAGAGCAACTGATGTAAATCTGGAGACTAAGGTGCCTCTGATCTAGGCCATAGTCTTTGCAATTACTTTATATGCATCAGAAAGCTGGAAAATGACTAGGGGTGATAGAAGGAGAATTGATGTCTTTAAGCTGTGGTCCTGCAGAAGAGTGTCGAATGTACAATGGACTGCTAGGAGAACAAACAGATTCATCCTGGAGAGGGTGAGACCAGGCTGCTCCTTGGAAGCAAGGATTTTGAAGCTTAGTCTGATATACTGTGGAGAGGGACATCATGTGTGGAAGTGGGGAGGGACTGCACAAGAGAGAAGACCCTTGAAGAGATGGATCAATTCAGTGACTGGGGTAATGGGGGTAGGTGTGTCAGAGACAATAAGATTGGCACAGGATAGAGCAGGGTTTAGGAATGTTGTGTATATAGGGTAACTATGAGTTGCAGGCAACTCCATGGCACATAACAACAATTGTGAAGAAAGATAGAACTGGATCTATTCCTCAAATCACATTCAAAAAGAAATCTCAACTGGATCA